CAAGCAGGAACTGGAACTGGCAATCGAGAGCAAGCAGGAACTGGAACTGGCAATCGAGAGCAAGCAGGAACTGGAACTGGCAATCGAGAGCAAGCAGGAACTGGAACCGAACCAGACCAACCCCCTCAAAAACCTAAACCAACTCCTGAGCAAGTGAATGAGGCTAAAAATGAACTAAGTAAGGCGGTCAATAGCGATAAAAAGGAAGATTTAGTAAGTGCTCTTAATAAAGTCAGCGACACGGTAAAAAATAGTTTGGATGAAGATTTAAAAAAAGAGAAAGAAAAAGTGGAGGACAAATTAGGTCAAGTTGACCCAAATGAGTTAAGAAAAATCATTAAAACCGAAGTAGAAAAAGAATTACAAAAATTCGAAATAAAAAAGGACGATTTAAGTTCAGAAAGCCAGCAAAAACTGGACGAATTGAATAATAATAATAATAATAATAATAATAATATCAGTGCTACCGAAGTCAAAAAAATAAGAACCGAAGTTTTAAATGATGGTGGATTAAAAGCCCTTGAAAAATTAATCTCGGAGGTCGAACAAGCCATAAAGTCGGGTGATAAGAAAAAAATAGAAGCAAAAGTTAAAAAACTAAGACAATTTACGGAGGACACGACTGACGAATACGCTCAAAATGCTTATAGACTGAAAAAAACTAAGGTTCAAGAATTATTTGAAAAAACCAAAAATTATTCTACTCAAAATAGTGAAAATAAGAAAGGATTCTTCCGCATGGATAATCCCCTAATGTGAATCTCTGGAGCGGTGGTAATTGGGGTAGTAGTTGGAGCAGCAGTGTTAGTTATTCGCTCTCGTCGCAAAAAAAATGGGTTATAAGATTATTATGACCAAAGAAGAAGGCAAAAACAATAAAAGTCAAGCCCGATCAAAAACGAGAAGGAAAAGCCTTTGGTTGTAGTGAAATATTTACCCTAGATAACCAAGGAAAAGTCATTAAAAAAGAGTGGAAGTGCGAGGAAATTAAAAACTGAAAATGATAGAGCGGTTTTTTGAATACCTAATCAACAAACTTTACTGGGAATTCCGAAAAGAAAATAACTTACCTTTTGGCAGTCTTGAAGTAGAACCCGTTATCCGTTTTGGGGGAGGTCATTTGCCATGAGTTAGGTCATGCGATATTAACTGATATCGACCCCAAAAGCCAAGAAATCAATGGCGGTCATAGAAAAAAACATAATGAGTATACTGAGAAACTAAGGAAGTTATTAAAAACCTTTCCCGAGTATCAAGAATTAAAAAGCCACTGAAACTAAAAACTATAAAATAATAATA